GCCATCTGGCGCCAAACTGTGCTAATGTGTGCGTAACTATGCGCCATTGCGCATACATGTTCTGGCTTGCCTCTGTGCACCAATGCGCTTAGATTTTCGCCAGTGTGCATTTCTGCGGCCATGCAAGGTACTGGCAGGAATGCCAGGTCTCCAAGTACCTCTGCTGTGGACAAGAGCCCTGACACTAATACACCGAGTGGGATAAATTTCAAGCAATTGTGACCTACGATAATATGAGTCTAATGAGAAGGTGAGCGCGCATCGCACCTAGTGGTGATGGGGTATTGAGCATGCTTTGGAGGTGTTGTTTGAGAATCGCCACCACTCATAAGAGAGGATAATTTGGTTGGATGGGCACATTTTTACTACACTTTATGTGAGTGCACTTATTAAGGTTATTCACTTTATAGTAGTCATACGGTGTTGCATGATGAAATATGTTTTTTTTGCTTGAGTGCATTTTCCACATCTTTGGGGCCATCAAGGAGAGTCTGGATGTAAGAGTTGGTCTGAAATAATACCACAGCGCATGTGACCTATATTGATTAGTAAGTCTAATCACAAGGTGAGCATTTTTTTTTCACTCAAAGGAGGAACAGCACATTATTTGTTTTCACAGCACTGAATTTGTGATAATGGACTATACAAGCATGCTTTACTGCATATACAGACCAGGGGCGGACTGACCATTTGGAAACTCGGGCACTGCCCGAGGGCCCGGGGTCAGTAGGAGGCCCCATGAGATGCTCCCGGTACCTTTTTTCATAGGCTTTTTTGAGTTTGGGCAAGGACACAGGGGCCCCATGATCCCCTATTGCCTGGGGGCCATATGAGTTGTCAGTCCGCCCCTGATACAGACTGATTTTACTGTGGTGGGTTTAGTAACACTAAGGAGTGGGAGTTTACTTTCTCTTAAGTCCACAGGTATAAATGGCTTTTCAGGCCAGGACCAAGTGTGTCGGGGGATTGGGCAGTTAATAGAGTTGTGGCAGAACAGAGGATTCATCACCTCCTGCGGCTCCTGTGGGGGTAAGCACTGCATTAGATTATTCCTAATCTCTTAGATTGTAAGCTCCCAGAATCAGGGCCCTCCTAACCCTCTTGTATTGAACTGTACTGTTGCTGTATTGTCTGCCTTTATATTGTAAAGCGCTGAGCAAACTGTTGGTGCTATATAAATCCTGTATAATATTAATTTTTAACAGCAGTTTGAAACTGTGAAAAAGAATTTTGTCCATAAAGGGGTGAAAATCACTCAGTGACTAACAGTGCTCTTTTCCTTATTTTATTTTCTGCAATGGTAACATAATTTACGGCAATTATTAAAGATCCCCCTGACAGCAGACATAAAATCTACTTTGGTGTGCTAATTAATCTCAAAGCCTGTTTTTGTCGTGTCGATTAATCTCTACGGTGAACTGATCAAACACATAAAAACCCTGATTTGATCGCAGAGAAAGAATACAATAATGAAGAGGACAGGTGCTCTTATTGGCTTTAAATATGTATTACTTCTGAACTGAGTCTGGTGTGAGAACGTCACAATTTGCAGTGAATTTCTTACAGGTTCCTTATTGGAAAGTTACAAGGATAAAAAACAGGTATTTCATGAAATGATATAAAACAAGTTTCCATTTTCCTTTCTTTGTCAGATACGTACAGTTGAGGAAAGCAAAAATATGTAATAAATGACACAAAAGCCCTTTTATAAAGATCACAGGCAGTGTCTCAATTTAACCACTTCGTGTCCGCCCACGTATATAAAAGGCCAGATGACCACAGTGAAGGGCGGGTTTTTGGACTGTGGGAGTGCACAGCACCGCAATCCGGTGCACACTGTGTCCTCTGTGTGAGGTCCCGATCATGTGATCACTGATTGGCCAATCAGTGATCACATGAATAGTAGTAAGCAAAAACAGGTGTATCAAAGAACAAGTAATGTTTGAAATACAAAATAGAAAAAGAGAGAAGGAAATATCAGCATGTTTAGGTCGAAGGCCGGGTGTCAGGGATGCGGGTATGACCAGAAGTGTGTGGACTGACACAGGGAAACGCAGGCTTCAGATATAGTAAATAATATAATTTATTAAGACTAACAATACAAACGCAGTGCAAAACTAAACATAACACAGTGCAAACAAACTGAACCAAACCACCTACAGATAACAAACATACAATACAAGAGTAGTCAGGCAGGCCGGGTCGGTAGCAAACGGACAAACGGAGTACCAGGAGCAGGCGGGAGAGTGGTCAGGACTAGCCGAGGTCAGTACAGGCAGAGTTCAGGCAGCGTCAGGACAGAAGTAACAGGATCAGGAAACCAGGGCCAAGCAAACAGTACAACAAGGCACAGACTGCAGTCTGGCCATCCCTTAAATACAACCCCTGCAATCAGCTTCAGATGTTTGGCTGACTGCAGTCGTGAGTCTCTGATTGCTGAGAGCACCCGCTGGCCAGCCCTGGTACTGCAGCCCACAAGGCAGGTGAGTCCCACCATTATTGGCAAGTCCATTCCTGACACCGGGAGAAGAATTAGGAGTAACTGTGGAACCAGCTTAACAGCAACTGAAATGGAGGCTATCTGATTATAACCTGATTCCACCTGCTTGCATGCAAGGAACACTGCCCAACCAAGAACCTACAGTCATAGATAACAGAAGCAAATACAGAGATAGGGAAAGATAGAGGGCCAAGAAGAAAAAGAGAGGGAAAAAAGACGGAGGGGAAGAGGAAGAAAGAGTGAAAATGAAAAAAAAAAAAAAAAGGGGAGGGGGGAGAAGAAAGGGATCAAAGGAAAGGATGAGGAGGGAGGGGTATAGGAAAGGACCGACCACTTGCGTCATGTTCGCAGCCCCCCAATCAGCCCCCACAATGAGTACATCCAAACATATTATTTTATTTCTTAAAATGACATCAATATTACAAAAAAATATTGACTATAAGAAGATGGAAGGATTTCTATGGGAAACATGCTGTATATATCCTATAACCCCTTGCCCTCCAGAGGATTTACCCCCCTTTTCCTGACCAGGCAATTTTTTTGCGTTACGGCGCTGCATTACTTTAACTGACAATTGCGCTGTCATGCAACACTGCACCCAAATTAAATTTACGTCCTTTTTTTCCCACAAATTGAGCTTTCTTTTGGTGGTATTTGATTGCCTGTGCGGTTTTTATTTTGTGAGCTATAAAAAAAAAAAAGACCGACAATTTTGAGAAAAAAACTATTTTTTTACATTTTGCTATTAAACATGTCCAGTAAAAAAATTTTAAAAATCAAATTTCATCAAAAATTTAGGCCAAAATGTATTCTGTGACATGTCTTTGCTAAAAAAAAAAAAATCCCAATACCTGTAAATTAATTGGTTTACGTGAAAGTTATAGCGTTTACAAATGGCGGTATAGATAATGGGATTTTCTTTAAAATTTTACTAGTAATGGAGGCGATCAGCGACTAATAGCAGGACTGCGGCAGGCATTCTGACACTGGGGGGGAAATGACATGTTGTCACTGACATCCCCAGTGACACCAATATAGTGATCACTGCTAAAAAAAGCACTGAGACTGTACTATTGGCACTGAGCAGAAAGGGTTAACATGAGGGGCGATCAAAGGGTTAACTGTGTTCTGTTTCACTATAAACTGTGTCCCTGTGCATCACTGTAAGCACACTGCTTTGGATGGCTGTGCTGTGCACAGCCATCCAAAGCAGTGTGCACGAGCTGACATGGAGGAGAACTATTTTATTTACATACAGTTCTCTCCCCCTGTCGGAGATGCTTGGCAATCACCAGGCGTCGGTGAGTAATCACCGGCCCGGACAAGGTGATTAACAGCCGCGGCCGCAAATGGCGGGGCAGGTAGGGCGCGCGCCCCCTATCCAGAAATGCAAGATCATGTATATGTATATATATATATGTGATTTTTGCACACCCGTGCCGCCCTGTAGCAGTATTTCTGCTATAGGGCGGTCGGGAAGCGGTTAATTGTTAAAAGTGTGTTTATTTTTATGAAATGTAATTGCTATAAGGTGTTGAAAGATAATCTGTTCTGGCATTTTGTTTTAAAATAACCAGGGTGGATACAGGACAGAAAAGCACCGTATAACCCAACAATGCTCCCGGCACTTAGATTGCAGGATCATTCAGGAGAGGAGCATCTTGTTAAATTGACATTAAAGTGTATCTAAACTCAAAAACAAAAGTTTTATATATTGCAGCCCACCAGTTGTTAAATGAGGTGCCTGCATTAGGTTTCTTTTTTAGTATTTTTTTCTCTTTAGTCTAACGTTTTAATGCTGCAAATAACACACTTCACATCCCTTTTGTGTCTACATTCATTCCTCCATGGTATACACGAAAGTATCCACACTTGTCCTACAGTCTGGACTTCAAACATGTCTGCCTTTGTTCATCTCCATACATGGAGGATTAATAGGACCAATAGTTTATAGCAAAGGGATAACATTGTTTATTCTGTCTTTATTAGCTCACACGAAGTAATAAGAACATGGCATTTCTGGAAAGATAAACAAGTATTTTCTGTAATTGCTAAAAATGTTTTTGAAAAAAAGAAAAGGTATTGCAGCCACCACATCTAAGAACCAGTAGGCTGCAATATATTATATGTTATTTTTTTGTTAATGTTTAGGCACACTTTAATAGCTTTTTTATATTAAAAGTTCTGTGTTTTGCCACCGTGAGACTTGCCACTTAGGGAGTGGAATGAATTTGGAATAGATCTTAAAGTGTTACTAAACCCCGGACCCTGCATTCACTATATCCGCTCTCCCCGGACCCTGCATTCACTATATCCGCTCTGCCCGGACCCTGCATTCACTATATCCGCTCTGCCCGGACCCTGCATTCACTATATCCGCTCTGCCCGGACCCTGGATTCACTATATCTGGTCTCCCGGACCCTGCATTCACTATATCTGGTCTCTTCTAACACTGCATTCACTATATCTGGTCTCTTCTAACACTGCATTCACTATATCTGGTCTCCCTGGACCCTGCATTCACTATATCTGGTCTCCCCGGACCCAGCATTCACTATATCTGGTCTCCCCGGACCCTGCATTCACTATATCCGGTCTCCCCGGACCCTGCTTTCACTATATCCACTCTCCCTGGACCCCGCATTCACAATATCCGCTCTCCCTGGACCCTGCATTCACTATATCCGGTCTCCCCGGACCCTGCATTCCCTATATCCTGTCTTCGCGAACCTTGCATTCACTATATCCCGTCTGCCCAGACCCTGCATTCACTATATCTGGTCTTCCCGGATCCTGCATTAACTATATCCAGTCTCCACAGACCCCACATTCACTATATCCGCTCTCCCCGGACCCTGCATTCACTATATCCGGTCTCCCCGGACCCTGCATTCACTATATCCGCTCTCCCCAGACCCTGCATTCACTATATCCGGTCTCCCCAGACCCCGCATTCACTATATCCGGTCTCCCCGGACCCTGCATTCACTATATCTGGTCTCCCCGCACCCTGCATTCACTATATCCGGTCTCCCCAGACCCTGCATTCACTGTATCCGGTCTCCCCGTACCTTGCATTCACTATATCTGGTCTCCACAGACCCTGCATTCACTCTATATCCGTTCTCCCCGGACCCTGCATTCACTATATACGGTCTCCCCAGACCCTGCATTCACTATATCCGGTCTCCCCGGACTCTGCATTCACTATATCTGGTCTCCCCGGACCCTGCATTCACTATATCCGGTCTCCCCGGACCCTGCATTCACTATATCTGGTCTCCCCGCACCCTGCATTCACTATATCCGGTCTCCCCAGACCCTGCATTCACTATATCCGGTCTCCCCGTACCCTGCATTCACTATATCTGGTCTCCACAGACCCTGAATTCACTATATCCGGTCTCTCCGTACCCTGCATTCACTATATCTGGTCTCCACAGACCCTGCATTCACTCTATATCCGTTCTCCCCGGACCCTAGATTCACTATATCTGGTCTCCTACAGTACACACAACATGGAAATGCAATTATTTTAGTAAATATAAACGGCTAAATACCTTTTAAACCATGTGGGAGACTTGTGTTGCCGCTCAAGGCTCAGTACAGGTAAAAGTCACCCTGCCTGTAGAAAAAGAAGAGGAGAGCAGCTCTCCAGGTTATTCCAGAAACTGATACGGTATATGAAGAAGTGGACGCCACTCAAAACCGATCCCCAGTGTCAAAGATGGCATGTTGTAGATGGCCTCAGCCGCCGCTCCAACCATGCCCTCTGATGAATTTTGCCCCGCCCATTGGGGGTCTCTGTGACCAAGCCCCCGATCGGTGGGGCAAAATGCATCAGAGGGTGTAGCTGGAGTGGCAGCTGAGACTATTGTGGGAACTCGCTCCAAATAGTAGAGCTTGGTTAAACGCACACAGCAACTCGCTTTCTTTTTTAAGGCCTTTTTAGCCCACTTTTATTTAAATGAAAGTTCAAAACATCATAGGTTTCCCACACAGGGGTATCTATCATCCACATAAACAAAATTCAGCCTCCTGGCTCTCTCAGATATACACAATCTTCCCCTGGCCTTCCTCTTCAGGCTTACGTCTGTCTCCTGCAGACTCTTTCAAAAACATGGCTCTCGCACACAGCTGGCCACTGGCACACAGCTACTCCCAAGCAGCTCCTTGCCGCTTTTAGCTTCCACCTCTCCTTGGTGGAGCCCTCCTGACTCCTGTCTTCCAGGTGGAGCCCAGAACCCTGGTCCTGACTCTACAAAAGAGCCATGCACACACCTGTGCAATCAGTGTAATGGCCATTCACAAAACCTGGTCCCAGGATTGGAGATTTCATCCCTCCCAGATCTCTTTGAAATCTCCAGGCTCCAGATCCCAAAATGGACCTTACAAACAAAGGAGGAAAGTGAAAAGCCACTTTCCTCTGCATCCAACACTTACCCTGGAGCCCCTCAACCTGCCTTGTTGAGAATCCTGGGTGACAGATTGCCACACTGTCACACTATTTACAACATGCCATCATTTCTTGACTCCGGGGATCAGTTTTGAGCAGCGTCTGCTTCCCTTAATTGTCCTATGAGACTGCAGGACCCCGATCCTCTATCTGGACAGTGCTGATTGGCCCTGCGCTGATCATATGCACTCTCCCAAAGAAACAAAACTCTCTAGCAGGGGTGGACTGACAACTCATGGGGCCCACGGGCAATAGGGGATCATGGGGCCCCTGTGTCCTTGCCCAAACTCACAAAAGCCTATGCAAAAGGTACCAGGGGCATCTCATGGGGCCCCCTACTGAACCCGGGCCCTTAGGCAGTGCCCGAGTTTCCAAGTGGTCAGTCCGCCCCTGCTCTCTAGCCATATACACCTAACTGAGTATGTGCAGAGTGATTTCTTTAGCTCTGTACTATCAGCAGATGGACTGGGGACAGTAGAAGGGGAGGATTATAGAAGACAGGATCAAACAGCCTTTTTACACAATGCAGAGGAGTAACCCCTTAGGTTCCACAGTGAGTATAACAAGCATGCTTTACTGCATCTACAGACTGATTGTACTGGTGTGGGTTTAGCAACACTTTAAGTTGAAGTGAATTTGTGGCAAGCTGTTTTTCCATGTAAAGTGTATGCAAACATCTATTATTCAGTAAGCTTGATATCATGCCTAACTGTATGTACAGATTTCCAAAGCACATTGTATTTTGAATCTGTTTCAAAGCCAATTATGCACGCAGCTTTAGTTAGCCTATCAGGTCTCTGGGTGGGCCTTATAAGCAGCCCCCCAAAAGAGTGTGTGAATAACCCTCAATGCTGACATGAGAATCACATGGCTTTTTTTTTTATAAACCAAGGGTTAGGGCTAGCATTAGGATTGACATTAGTGTTGACTTTGTTTATAAACAAAGCCATTAATTAATAAGTCAGAGCTGACATGGTCATCGCAAAAGTGTACATGAGTGTAGAGGGCTGAAGATAGGGCGGTATGATAGAACCCAAATAAATGCGAAATTCGAGCGGATAAGCCACGCCTTGCTTCTCCCGTGTCCGACAGGTGAAGTCAGGAGTAACTGCAGGAAAAAATGGAACAAGAGCGCACTGGCCTAGCACATTATCCCAGATAACAACCTATTGAATGAAAGTTCAAATATGCTCACAAACAAGAAGTGACACATTGCATACCAAATGACAGTCACTGAAAATATGCTCCATACAGCCCCAAGAGCCCCGACATAAAATAAGTGCCATCCAAGGGCCAAAGAACGGCTGACGCGTTTCAAGGGAAACTGAGGAAGAGGGTTTCCCTCGAAATGCATCACAATTTCTTTGCCCCTTGGACGGAACTTCTTTTATGTCGGGGCTCTTGGTGACATATGGAGCATATTTCCAGTGATTGTCATTTGGTATGCGATTTGTCACTTCTTGTGTGGGAATTTTATTTCAATAAATCTTATTTGGGAAAATGCGCTAGGCCAGTGCACTCTTTTTCCATTTTTTCCTATGGTCATCACCAGGGGCGAACTGACAACTCATGGGGCCCCCGGGCAATAGGGGATCATGGGGCCCCTGTGTCCTTGTCCAAACTCAAAAAAGCCTATGAAAAAGGTACCAGGGGCATCTCAAGGGGCCCCTTACTGACCCCGGGCCCTCGGGCAGTGCCCAAGTTTCCAAATGGTCAGTCCACCCCTGGTCATCACAAAACCTTGTTAGAAAGCTAGGTTTTTGTTGTTGTTTCTGAATAACAAAAGGCTTTGTAACATATCTCTTCCATGTGGTGCCATTGCTGCCAGCAATCAATGGGAAGGGGTTTTCTTTGTATGGAGTAAAAAGGAGCAGGGCTGTATTTACCACAAGGCAAGCAAGGCATTTGCCTAGGGTGGCATTTTTCAAGGGGGGCAGCACTGCCCCTTGGAAGAAGGAATGGAAGAAGGGACACACATGGCATGGGGGCCTGGTGGGTTCCGAGAGATGCTGTGGGTTCATGACGATGTATTCACAGCCCGACTATCGTTCCTCCTGGGGATGTCCGGAGCTGTGAGCTGTGAAGGTAAGTGTCTTTCTCTCTCTTGCCATGGGGGATGGTGGCTGATGTATGGGGGGCAGTGGTAGTGGAAGGCTCCGGTGGAGGGTAGGGGTGCTCTTGGTCAATGTCAGGCTCTTTCTGCAAGGGGGCGCCAATTTTTATGTTGCCTAAAGCAGCACAAAACCTAAATACACCACTGGAAAGGAGTCCTTGATCTTTACTTCCTAAGTTTGAATACTGGAGTTCAAGAGTACCTGTCTTGGGATTCTGTTTTTTCCAAGAGAAAAGGAGATTGAAATACCATAGTGGTCTGATTTATCTCTTGAAGATCGTCTGTTGAAGCCTAGTTTGCCAACCATGAGAGTGGGAGGCAACACTTGCCGGTGAGTGCATACCTGAGAGGGGGGCACTCCACACACACACACACACACACACACACATATATATATATATATATATATATATATATATATACACACTGTATATATATATTTATTTATTCACTTGTTTTGCTCAAGGTTTCTTAACGTGGTGATCTTCTATTGGACGGAGTTGTTGATATTATTTGGACTTTTTTTGGACTATACGCAATTATTTTTAATTATATATATATTAATTATATATATATACTGTACATGTTTTTGTGGAATATTTTTATTCACTTCTATATGCTTTACTGTTTTTTTTTTGTTCGGAATATTGATTATGCGCCACTTGAATACTTGTTAAAGTGTTTGGGTTTTTTTGGGGTTTTTTTTTTTTTTTTTTTAAAGTGGCAGCTCAGTTTATGTGGTATACACAGTTATTAATCAAATAAACAACGCAATACCCAACAAATGATACATAAAAAAAGAAAAATACTAGTATAAAAATTTTGAAGTGTCCAAAATAAATGTGTCCAACAAACAAAAAAATATAATAAATTTCACATAATATCCAAATAAAATGAAAAACTCATAATGTAATTTAAAGTGTCCAAAATGAATGTGTCCATCAAAATATCAAAAATCATCAAAATATATATAACATTATGAAACTTTAGCCTTTTCTTCAACTTCAAAGTGCTTCACCAAAAACCAATAAATTTATAATGTGATATCCTTCTGTAATACGTGCTTCCACCATCCACCAGTGAGAAACCAACATTAATTGCACTCACCAGATATTGGCAAATAGTAAGCCTTTTAGGACTTTTAGGGATCCTACAGCCCCTCTAAAAGCCTCTAGACCTCCATTCCACCACGCCAGACTCAGAAGATTCTTCCACTTCCTTTCTCCAAACAAAACGCTCCACCGTTGTGCCAAAGAAGAAATTATAGCATATAGTGTGATATTGCTACTAACTTCTTAAATATATAATAATGATGCCATCCTTCTGATTCAATAAACTGATTCTTCAGTTTCCATAAATCAATACCATTGAACCAAGTCAAGACTTAGATCAGCCTTTTTCAACCCAGGATACCCAGGCACCCTGGGGGGCCTTCATTTTTCTTTGGGGGTGCCTTGGCAAAATCCCTAAAAATTGCCCAAAAATTGTATCCATGCCAGTGGGTGGACCAAGCCTGCCTTTTCATTGCACAAAGCCACAGGTTTTCACGGTTCACCATTACAACCTGCTGGTTGCCAGCATCCTAACAACCAATGATGTCACCTGGTTGATATGGTGGACAGTGGGTGCTTACACTGCATCCTTGTTTGCCCTCTCCTGCCCCTGTCTATCAACACTGGGGGTCACATTAGATGAGAGAGAGGGAG